GGGGTGGGGGGCAGTGGCTGGCAGTGCCCCGGCCCAGGCACGGGGGTGTTGCAGTCTGTACCTGCTGCGTCCAATTGAACCTGTTGTCTCCGACAGTTTGCTGTGAGTGGCCTCTGCTTGGGCGTGTGGGCAGGGACTCCCCTCGTCCCCATCCCATGCCCTGGGTGGGGAGAGCAGAGGAAGCTCCCAGCTGCCCCTGCAAGGGGCTGGATGGGGGTGGAGGGGAGAGACCTAGTGTCCTTGCCCCATCTCTGAGGCAGGAAGGCACTAGGTCTGCCCCTGCTTTGTGCTCCCCAGCCGGGTGGGCAGCTTTCCCAGGCAGGGCTTGGAGGGGAAACATGGCAGGAGCTGCCCCGGCTGCTGGGGAGGGGTCCCAGCCCAGCCCTGGGGCTGGGGCCCCCCCAGCAGCCACCACAGCTGGCACTGGGCAGTGGAGCTCCCTCTGGGCCAGCCCCTGGGAGGAAGCGTGGGGGACTCAGAGCACTGCCTGCCTCCAAGTTGAGGTGTGGGACTGGTAAGCAGGGCCCAGCTGTGGTCGCCCCCTTCCTCCCTTGCCCCATGCAGCAGACGTGAACCCCTGGCTGCGCCCAGCCGGCCCCACCCTAGACCCCGGTTGCAGCACCATGGGCCAGGCCCCCCAGCCCCCACGACAGTGAGCCCACACCTGTGCTAGCACTTTATTTCCTTCCAAGCAGCACCATGCACAGAGCTCGCCTCTGCCTCCAGCTGGGCCAAGCAGGAAACACCAGCCCTGCTGCAGCTGGGGGCAGCCAGAGGGGCAACAGCTGGCCCCGGGAGGGGGTGGTGCCGGACCCGCCTGGAGCCTCGTCACTGCTCCCACGAGGGCTGGGCAGGGAGAGGCAGCGCTGGAGCCGCATGGGGCCACAGGACATCCCCCTCCCCCGACGGTGCCACCAAGGTGCTGCCCCCCCAGGTCCAGCACCAAGTCTGACAAGGCCACAGGCCTGTCGTGCCCCAGCCCGGGCAGTGCTGTAGTACGTGGGTGGGGGGCACCCCTGGGAGACAGGCCAGGGCCCCAGCTCAGCAAGTCCAAAAGCCCCCAGGCCTTGCGTCAGGCTGGACAAGGCCCTGCACTGTGGACTGGAGCCCAGGCGGGCTGGGCACCGGCTACAGGGGGCTGGTCCGTGTTCACAGCCCCAGGTGCCGGCGCAGCAATGACGCCAACCTTGGTGCCAGGCACCGGCAGCCTTTGGTCATGTGTTTATAGCCCTGAAAGGGGGGAGGGAGCCCCGTCACTGCTCGGACCGGGGTCCCGCAGCTCTGTCCGCCGCGGCTCTACGACATGCTGCAGTTGGATGGCTTCGAGGTCCGGCTCTGGCCCTGCAACAGGACAGCGCAGAGGAGTTGGTGCCCCCAACCGGTGTCCCTGCTCCACCCCGGGCCCGGGAGACCCCCGAGCCAGCAGTGCACGCACGGGGGGGGGGGAAGCTCG